AGACCAAACCAAGCCTTTATAGTAGTGAGGTATAGAAAATCGAAATGGTGTATTTAAGTGTTTTACACTGACAAAAAAGAAACCTATCATTAACTTTTAGTTAATTTATTGAACTGTTCCACAATATTTCCAAACATATTAACATTAGTATTGTTTTTGAAATAATTGATCCATAGTGTTCAATCTGCCCCATGTGCTATCGAAAACACGGGTTTGCAAATAGTGCACTCAAATCTGTTTTCAAAGTATCTGAAAAAAAAACTTCTCGGCATTTTGACACTATGATAGGTTAAACATTTTCAATAACAAAAAAATCTTAGGGAACAGTCCCTGACGTTTAACCATCAACCACACATTCACCAACTGCTATAGGTCTACTACTGTATTACTAACTAAAAAAACCTGCACAAACCTGGGTTTCTCACCACCTACAGATGGAACTTTCCAGAAGGTTTGGCAACAAGAGAGTATGTCTTGCAACAATGAGCAAGTCAATTAGGCCTATTACATTTGTGATTGGATGTGACTGACAGTTTGATATCTTTATAATAAAACAGGGACATATCATAATCTGCTAATACCAAAAATTATTGTAAAATTACCTTTTTATGGATGGGACAAAACATATACTTCTGTAAAACTTCTGTAACATCTTTTTTCATCTCTTCTTGCTGTTGAATTCTGTGGCCCTTGGTAAGACGTACACGTTCATGTGCACCAATACACACATTACAGAGCCATTCCTGACATTCAACACAAAAACCTACTGTAGAATTTCCATCATCACAACTTGTACATAATACTGATTTCTCTGTCCCTCTTTTCCACACGTGTTCTGCTTTAGTCATGTGTTCTAGTAACAAGAAGTGATCAATGGCCCTATTCATGTCAATTCCTTGTTTACAACTAGGACAAGTCACTGTGGATAAAAAATAATATGCATAATCATATATATACACTTGTTATCGATATCTGTGAAGTAAAAATATTATATATATAAATATTCATGATGTTAGAAAAACACATAGGTTCAAGAAGTCTTGATAGAAATGAATAAAGAAAGTTTGCCCCCCCTGAAGAAGAAAGGTCCACGTTCCAAAAGTGCTCAGGTTATAGGGTTTTTATTCATTTCTATATATCCATATATATATATATATATACGTTATTTACACCTATGAAGTAAATATACATAACCATATATACCCTTGTTATCTATACCTGTCAAGTAAAAATAATATATATCCATTTATACACATTACTTACACCTATGAAGTAAATATGTGTATGCCTACAGT